TAGGGCAGAAAGGGCTGTGCTGTGGGATGAGGAGCTCACACTCTGCCCAGCCCCAACCACAACAGCAGCATGTGCACCACCCCAACACTCAGCATGGATCATCCCAGAACATCCCCAATGGGAATGACCCCACAGGGATCAGAGTCCAGCCCGAGCAATCCCATTTATCTCCTCTCCCAGCAACACAGAACTTAAAAGCAACTTGGGCACTTGATTTCTAGGTCTCATCCTTCTTCAGGCCTGAGAGCCTCCCAACAGCCTTTTTCTTTACCAAAGGGGTCTCCTAGTTCCACACTGCACAGCCCAAAACACCTATGTGTGTCCTGTTGACAGAATCCTTTCAGGAGATGTTCCAGCCACAAAGGACTGTTAGAGCTAGAACCACACTAGTAAGTCCCTGATCATTCCTCCTTAGCCAGGTCCTACAGATGACTCCTGTGTTTCCACAATGCAGGAGGATATTTACAGCCACCCACTAGAATCACAGAATCATCAGACGTGGAGAGACCTCTAAGGTCATCGAGTCCAACCCTTAACCTATCACTGCTGGAATCCCTAAAGCCTAAACCATATCCTCCAGTGCCAGATCCAGACAACTCTGAAACCACCTCCCTAGGCAATCCATCCCCCTTGGCTCAGCTGTCATCCTGTCAGGATGACAAAGACATTCCCAAAAGCAATTCATGAGCTGAAAACTCTTACGCTTCTTCTTGATCACTTTCAGGTGGCCGAACTTGATGAGGGTGTCCAGGAACCAGAGGCATCGTGTTTTGTGATCCCTGCTCCTCTCATCCACGGGCAGCAACTTCAGCTCCTCCAAAACAAATGAGCAGAGGCTGCAAGACAGCAGGGAAGGTCAGCTCCCCGCAGGGCACCTTGCTGCCATGCACCTCCTCACCTGCAGAGCTACACCCCACGTTACCAAGGCACGGATTGTTCTGCCATGCGTGGATCCAGTATCTCCCTCTGCCCCATGGAGGCCTGTGCATGATCACTGCCCTAGTCCTGGTGACACTGTCCTTGAGCCAGGTCAAGATGCCCTTGGCCTCCTTGGCCACCTGTGCACACTGTTGGCTCCCACTGAGCTGTGCCACCAGCACTGCCAGGTCCTTTGTGACCAACACCTCTGTTCCCACTCCTCCCCCATCCTAGAGCTGCATGGGCTGTTGTGCCCCAGGGGCAGCACCAGCCTGGGCACTGTGGGGTGAGGCAGCAGGAGCTTTCCTTCCCACAGCCCTAGCCTGCAGCGGCTGCTGGCAGCAGCAATACCTCCCCTCCTTGGTCTCGTTGTCGACGTGCTCGGCGGCGC